GCCCCCCCCCCCCCCCCCCCGGACGAATCACTCATCTAAGGTTATATCTTGAGAAGCGCGCGATTACGGCACACACGAGTAATTAGACGATTAAAAGTATAGATTGGTGGGCGGAATTATGTCAATGAAAGTACTTGAGCGCTCTAAAAAGAGCGGATTAAAAGTTTATGCAGCGAATAAAAACACCCTCGAAGCAGAGAACGTCCGTCCCCTGCGAGAACCCGCGCGCCACTTATATATCCTTATACCATGATTGGTGATATTGGTGATGGGCCATGGTGGAAGCATGATATAGGATGCAGTCCACTTGGCGCTACAAACGCTTCAAACGTTTTCATTTTCATATGCTTCTATAGAACGGTCCATTAGCGCTACTAATGCTTCCAACAATACGCAAATGGACCAATTTTTGAAGCGTTAGGCCGGTATTCATAGTCGGTTCTTATTTTAAAACCGTCTTAAGTAATGTCTTAAGTCGCTAATGCGACCTTCTGATTGGTTCATGACATCTTAAGACTACTTAAGACGGTCTTAGGGAGCCGTCCCATGGAGCATTTCTCAATACGTACGTATTGACGGATCGAAGCGTCGACTAATCACCGACCCGTCGACTGATCCGTCGTTTTGCTTCCGGAAAACTTTTGTTCCATTGTCCCATGCAGCAGATCGAACGTAAACGGATGATCGAAGCACCAATTACGAAATTTTTCCGCTAGATCCATTTACAAAATAACCTTAAAAGTTGTTCGTAATTGGTGGTCCGTTTAACCGTATACGTAAAATCTGTTGCATGGGACAGTGGAAAGAAAATTTAACGGATAACATACGTACGGATTGTAAATATTTGTATAAGTCAATATTTGTATAAGTTTTGCAGAAAAAAATGGATAATATAGAAAACGTGTTACTTGTTGTGGGAGCAATAGCGCATCGCCTCAAGCGATGTAATCAACGATCTGTAAAAACAAGATTACGTCGAAAGCTTCTGCAATTATACGCATTATACGATATTTTAACTAAAAATGTTTGTCAAAAAGAGCGACGGTTTTGGGTAAGGATGATATTTAGTGACCAGCAACGTCTACTGCAAGAAGCGAGCAATAATTTAATAAAAGAGATGGAGCAAAATGATGAAGAAAAATTTAGGAACTACTTTCGGATGGACTTTGTCGTTTTTAGGAAACTATTTGATTTAGTGAGGCCATTGATAACGAAGAACAGTAATGTCAGAAAAGCAATCTCAGCTGAAACACGTTTGCACATAACTGTGCGGTACCTCGCTTCCGGAGATAGCATGGCATCCATCTCGTATGCTTTTCGCGTTGCTCACAATACTGTGTCAAAAATAATTAAAGAAACGTGTGATGCAATTTGGTCAGTTTTAAAGGAAAAAGTATTTATGAAGGATACCCCGGAGAGTTGGCAAAAAATTGCCCAAGATTTTGATGACGTGTGGAATTTCCCAAACTGCATTGGCTGTGTCGACGGCAAGCATGTAGAAATACAGGTATGTTGTTTAATATAAATAATTTTAAATAATATTAAGAACGACCGTATGAATACATCAAGTAAGATAGAAAGAGAACGCCATTAAACGGTCAAAGATGGATGTTCGAAAATTCGGATGTTTGCTGAAAATTTGGATATGTTTGTTCATTTGCAATAGTGTAAATGTGATTTACTGTTTATAAATTCATTTTGTTTGTAATCATAATTTTGTCACATTTCTGTATCGCAGACAACAAATGTAACTAAATTGACGATATGAGTTTGAAAGTTTACCTAATATATTATTCATAGTTTTAATGTGGTTTTATTGCAGGCTCCGCCAAACAGTGGGTCACTTTATTATAATTATAAAGGGCGTCATAGTATTAACCTTATGGCTATCAGTGATGCAAAGTATAGGTTTATTATGGTCGATATCGGAGCACAAGGCAGAAATAGTGACGGAGAGTTTTCCGAAATAGTATAATGGGCAAATATTTTGACGAAGGACAATTCCAGGTCCCAAATGGTAAACGGTTGGAAAGCAATGGGCCTATGCTGCCATATGTGCTCTTGGGTGACGAAGCATTTCCTTTATCACGATACATGATGCGACCATTTCCCCGGAGTAGCAACTTAGATTTAAAGAAAAAAGTGTTCAATTATAGACTAAGTAGAGCACGACGCGTAGTAGAGAGCGCATTTGGGATTCTTGTTACAAGATGGAGAATCTACAGAAAATCGATTATCGCAAATGTGAAAAACGCACGAAGAATAATCAAGGCTACAGTAGCTTTACATAATTTTATTATAGATTCAGAGGAAGAACTGTGCTCGAGGATTTATTACACGCGCGTCAATGCTGAAGATCGAAATATGAATTATGAAAGACTGTCCTCACTGGAAGAAGAAGACGAGGCTGAAGAAGAAAGTAATAATGGCATAGAAGTTCGCAATGCATTCGCAGATTTTTTTACAGGTGCTGGTGAAATAGAATTTCAGTGGAGAAAGGCTGTGAATAACGATTTTTAGCATACACTATCGATTTTTGTGACATTTACAGTTTTATTTGACTTTGTGTATACGGTGTGCGGTACAATTATGACTAAATTTAAATAATATTGCAACAGTTTTTTATTTCTCCTGTACCGCCCTATCCTTATAATAAATAGTAACATTAATAGTGATATAATCAACAGTGAGTTAAAAGTACTACTAATAAGATTAATGAGATCATTTGAAATAATCATAGTACCAAACATTAAGTGGGGAAATACATTTAGGCGAGTGAAAACAAGACTTAAGATTAAGAGTGAAAACAAACTTAAGATTAAAAAAAAATAAAAAAAAATAAAAAAATAAAAATAATCGGATAATCCTTTCCTTAAAAAAAAAAATTCACGAAAATTTACCTTGTTTTCACTCGCCTAAATGTATTTCCCCTCTTAAACGATAACTAGTTCTGATTCTAGGTCATATAGTTGCGATAAGATCCGAACTTCAAATGCATGTCTCTCGCGTTTCGGGAGAGCTCGTAATCGATCTCCAATTTGGAGCAAAAACCCATCAATTGCATCCTGTTTTGGCTGTTCTAAATCAAGAGAAGCAAGAATTGCTTTTTTTATGTCGTTGTTCTCATCTGCATTTTTTCTTTCTGCAAATAGAGAAAACAAAAAAAAAACATTACATCATTGTTTGCATAATGTCAAAGGTCAATGCATTATTAGAGAAATTACTTTTCGAAGCTCGTTGATTAGATTTTGAATGTGAAGGCTCATCGGTAGACCAAGATTGGCTTACAGAAACATTTAATGTTTCAGAAATGGGAATCTCGGAAGTTGTACTGTGTTCTTCACTGGCAATATGTGCTTCTTCAATTTCCAAAACAGTGTCATTTTCAAAATTACTGTCAGTGCTATACAAAACATAAGTGCAAATATTACTATTAATATCATAACATTTGGCTGAACGTTTTGTATGGCTATGCAAAATGTTACTAACAGTTTTTTGTACATAACTTAAATTTGACTAATGTTACCTAACATCAATCCTCATGCAAGTAACACAACTTAGAGCTATTAGCAGAGAACGAAACGTAATGAGACGTAAACTGTTGTAGTCATGACGTAGGATAAGACAGAGAAAAACGTAGCTATCGTAGTTGTGACTGGTGCATTGGAGACGACGCACTTTCCCGATCAGTTACGACTGCGACAGCTATGTTTTTCTCTGTCTTATCCTACGTCCCGACTACAACAGTTTACGTCTCGTTACGTTTCGTTTTCTGCCATAGCCTATTGCGTGGTCTACAATGGCAGTAGCAGTAGTGGATTAGGTTGTAAGAGTAAGAAATTGACCAATTACAGTCGATTATTCTTCTCCCATTCGACTGTGATTGGTCAATTTCTTACTCTTACGACCTAATCCACTACTGCTACTGCCATTGTAGACCACGCATTAAAGGGCAGGGTAGATTAAAAAATTAATTTACAATATTCTTGAGGCTTTCACGGGTGTTTCCTATATGACAATCTTGTGTTTCGCGGGTTTTCTCCGTGTTCAAATCCA